TACACCAACCCATTTAAGCTCTAAGAGGTAATATACTCCGCATATTTAAAGGTCATTTTTCGTCTAGTGCACACTAGCTAGTGGACTCTGTGCATTCCTGGCAACTAGGACAGTAGGTGAAACAGGTGTCCCTAATGAGGAGGAAGCTGCTCACAAGGGACCATCAGGGGTTAAGAGACACTTCTGGCAACTGATCCCAGGGATGCTTCTCTTTTCTCTGGCAGAGCCCCGCAGCTCACGTTTCTTATTCATTCAACATTTTAACAATTTACTATTGAGGGGCTAGCAGGTGGTGTGATGGTTAAGGGCGCTAGACTCCCGTAGTTCAAGTCCTGGACCTGGAGGTTTGCTTTCTCACTTTCTCTCTCTTTGTCTCTCTCTCTCTCTGGTCAAATTAAAAATAAATAAAGTTAAATAAAAGAATTCTTTTTTTAAAAAAAGATTTGCTATTGAGGGTCCAGCAGGTGATGTGGTGGTTAAGGGCGCTGGACTCCCACATGGCTGACCACAGTTTGAGTCCTGGACCTGGATGCTTGCTTTCTCACTTTCTCTCTTTCTCTCTCTCTCTCCCTCTCTGGTAAAATTAAAAATCAAGAGATAGCAAGGTGGACACACTTTACTCTCATGTTTCATTTCATTGTTCTAGTCTATCTACAGACTAGATGAACATGCCCCCGGATACATGGTCTCAACATGGTGGTATTTTCCTGACTACTTTATTCCTCTCTTTTTAGGAACTGTAAAACTATAGTTTTCTGAAGTACCTTAGAACTTTTCTTGGTATTTTTTATTGCCCAGCATTTTTAAACATATTTCCCCCCTCCTTAGGATATGAACAAATGCCACAAAATCGTACCCAAAGTAAAACTGACAAACCTGGTAAAACAAAGATAACTGCTATGTCTAAAATAATGGTTGTATTATAAGACTGAAGGGTTTACATTCTTCAAAAAAAACCTTAAAGTTAACTTTAGGGCCCAGTGGGTGGCATAGTGGTTAAGGTGCTGGACTCCTACATGGCTGACTGTGATTCAAGTCCAAGAACCAGTGGCTCAAAAATCACGCCAGGTACGTGTGCTCAAAATCCCAGAAGGAGGGACCAGCAGTTAGCATAATGGCTATGTCACTGGACTCCCATGTAGTCGACCGCGGTTCAAGTCCCGGACCTGGTGGCTTAAACTCATGCCAGGCATGTGTGCGTGCGTGCCCAAGATCCCGAGAAGAGAATGGAGAAGGGATTGCGGCGTGGTCATCCCCCCGGGGGGTGATTTCTTGCTTTCTATCTCTCTGTCTCTGTCTGTCTGGCGAGTGCATGCACCCTATAGCGAAAAACCTCTCCAAAAAAAAAAAAAAAAAAAAATCCCAGAAGGAGAATGGAAGAATCGGGACTGTGCCTTTTGGAGCAGAGCTGGGGGTGATTTTTCACATTTCTCTCTCTCTGTCTCTCTGGCAAGCACACACACCCTATAGTAAAAATCTTTCTTAAAAAAAAATAAAATAAAATAAAATTTAAAAATTAAATTAAAATAATTAAAGTCAACTTTAAAAAAACAAAGGGCCAGCTGGTGGCATAGTGGTTAAAGCATTGGAATCCCACATAGCCAACCACAATTCAAGTCCTAGACCTCTTTGCTTGAAAATGGTGCCAGCAGGTGGTGTGGTGGTTAAGGCCCTGGACTCCCATGTGGTAGACTGCAAGTTGAGTCCCAGACCCGATGGCTTACAACTCATGCCAGGTGTGTGTGTGTGTGTGTGTGTGTGTGTGTGTGTGTGTGTGTATGTGTATGTGTATTTGTGCTGAAAATCCTGAGAGGAGAATGGAGGAAAGGGAATTGTGGCATGGCCATCTCCCACGGAGGATGACTTCTTACTTTCTATTTTTCTGTCTCTGTGTCTCTAGTGAGTGCATGTGCACTATAGCAAAAATCTCTCAAAATAAATAAATAAATAATATTAAAATATATTTTAAAAAGAAAGAAAATCGTAACAGATGTGTATGCACATGCCCCAAATCCCAAGAGAATGGAGAATAAGGACTGCAGCACGGCCATAACCCCAGGAGGTGATTTCTCACTCTCTATCTCTCTCTGGTAAGCACACGCCC